GTTCCTCCCTAATGAAAAAGCCTGAGGAAGGCTTCAAGGTGGCTGGCTAATGCTCAGAAGTTTCAGAATGGTGATACCTGAGCTAAATAGATGGTGAGCAGAGGAAGAAGGCTTTCCTGGGACCCAGGGGCTAGGGAAGGAGCTACTTTTTTGGCCTTAAGGACTGCTGGCCCCTCCCAGATGCTGAGCAGTTGTCCCAAGCCCAACTTGAATTCCTACTTGATCATGCTGCCTCAAGCAGCTGGTTTTCTTGGTGAAACATTTTCCAGGTACTGCTAAGGGCCTGATTTGCAAAGATGTAGAACATTCATAGAAGGAAGGCTTCCTCTGCAAGGAATCGTGTTATGGGAACCTCCAAGATCTGTCCACTGTAGCTCAGTCTAGAAAGGTGATGACACATGTGCAACAGGATTGAGGCACAGGTCTGGGCTTGGGCGCAGTGAGTGAGGGTCTTTCCCAGCTGGACTCTGCATGGCAGGCAAGGGTTGGAAATATAGGGACAGGAAGGAAGGGCATATGGTATATGGAACAGTGGCGAATCTATAAGGGCAGAAATGGTCAGGACTCCTATGGAATCCAGTGGTTTAGTGAGACTAGGGACAGAGTGCAGGAAGGGTCGAGAGAGGGAGGGCTAGGCCAGACAAGACCAGTTGGAGAACTTTGATTTTATTTGATAAGCAATGGAGAACGACTCAACAGTGTCTTGCTTACTTATTCAAACAAGCAAAAACAAAAACCCCAATTATTTAATAACCCCTAGGGAAGATTTAATTGGGTATTAGCTATAAAACCAGAGAGTTTTCATTGAGGTTGGTATAGCTAATTTGAAAGGTGGGGTAGAGTTTGCTGTGGTCTGCCCTGAGGCTGGAGCCATGTTCCCAGGTCTTAGAGGAGCAGCTCCTTCCTCTCCCCCTGGTGGGCAGTTTGCCCTAAAACTGTGGTTCCCAGACCCTGGCCTCTCCTCAACCTTTTCTTCCCAGGGATTTTGGCAGAGACCAACAGCACTCACACCCCAGAATGTTTCAAGGCTACCTTCTCTTTCACTGTCTTCAAAATATAACTACTTAACAGGTACAATGAACACTATACTGGTGATGGGCACACTCAAAGCCCTGACTTAAGCATTATAAAAGGTATCCATGTAACAAAAACATTTGTACCCCCTTAATATTTTGCAATAAAAAAATTTTAAAACAGAAAACACTCAAGACACCACAGTGGGCATCAGCCAGTGCTGTGCTGTGTGCTGGAAGAACATCGACAGGGGCTGGCAGTTTTAATAACACTCTTCCTTATTATAAAATGCACTTGGGAATAGGAACATTTATAAATTTTTGATGTGTTTAGAAAACACATGAATATTCAACTGTAAGTCTGTGCATGGCATATTCTGTTATGTATAGACTCTCGCTCAGCAAGGAGTGCTGTGCTGCCCACCTGGGAATGGGCTGATGTGGAGGTTGCAGTGGCCGTATCTGGAAGCTCTGCCATGTGTGTGGCTGGGGCACCTCAGTCATATTCTTCCAACTTCCCCCACCCCACAAGCCCACATAGAAATGCAACTCCTGCATTTCTCCAGATAGGTGAAGCCAAGTTGGCTTCATGCTGGATGTATAAACAAATTCAAACCCAACCACCATTAAGTCATGTGGGTGCAAGATGACCAGTGCTGTCTGCTTTGAATCCTGGGGCTGCTGATGGCTGTTTGAAGTTATCTTCTCCAGCATGGCATCAGATATGGAGATGCTGGCACAGATTCCTATAGAAGCGGAGAGGGCAGGGAGGGGGCTCCTGGATCTATTGTGTCTGGGTCCACTCCTGCTGCAGGAGCCCTGTGCCAACAAGATTGAGGTGCTCTGGCTCCTCTCTACCTCTACCTATCCTCTGAGGGGGAAGCTGGTGTGGGCCAGGCAGCGGGGACAAGGCAGGAGGCCACAGCCATCCTAGCAGAGGTGCACAGCAAGGCCAAGAAACTCCATGAACAGGCAGCCCTTGTGTCCCAAACCAGGTGCCCAGCCATACAGTAGTGTGTGGGCCACTGTGCTTAGGACATGAGGCAGAATGGCAATGGCACCTTGGAGCCTCCCAGGAAGGAGGTTGTCACCAAGGAGAGCCAGACAGCACAGGCTGGGGGTGCTGGGGTGGGGGTCCTGGGAGCAAGGACTGCTTCATCTCTGATTCTCTCCCCAGCTTCTTCTCTGTGGCTGGCTTGGCCTTGGGCTGCTGGAGGAGCAGCTCCTCTCCCTCTGCTCTCTCTCTCACCCCCAAGAGGAGCCTGAGAGTGAAGATGGGGCAGGCTTGCTCAAGGTGTGCACTGTATGCAGGCAGCATGTGAGGTAGGAAGGGAGGCTGCTGGATAGAAAATATCTGTCCTGAGTAGTTCCAGTGCAGCTTCCATTTGACCATTTCCCTGGCTAAACTTTGTGGTATGGACTGCAGAGTCCCGCAGAGCTTCCCAGACAGCAGTTTAACATAGACCATGGGCGCAGCCATCGCTCTTCCCAGTCTGAGCTGTGGCCCTCGAAGCTTGGCCTGTGGCAGGTATTCTTGACCCAAGTCATGCTCAGATTTCTCTCCTGTCCTGGGCAAGGCTGGTACAGGCTCCCCTGCTCAGTCTCGACACTGTCATCCTTTTGCCTGGCCAGCTCCAGACGGATAGCTGGCAAATTCGAGTTAGTGCCTTGGACAATGAGCAGAAAGATAAGCACCTATTGACCCCAAGTCGAATCGCTAATCTGCTGAGGCAGCCAAGTCCTAAGTGTGCAGACAAGAAGCGAGCTGGGCACGGTCTCCCAGCAGCACCACGGACACCTCAAAACAGGGATCCCAGAAATGTGAAGAGGCCAGAGAACTCATCACAGTTTGACTTTGGTAATTCACAAATCAGCTGGATCATCTTGCACAGGAGCACTGGCTTGGAGCTTTTGGCATCTGGAACTCCCCACTTGCCCCTTCCTAAGAGGGCTCATCCTTGGAGGATCCCTGGAAAAAAGCAGGCCTGGGCAGCACCCCAGACCCTCTGACAACATAGCTGTAGGGCTGAGCAAGGAGCTAAGTAGTCAACTGGAGCGTGACCACAGACTCCCCCCATTCAGAAACCTTGCAGGTGGTAAATCCAGTATAAAGGGGCCCGGATGGGACAAACCTTGGCCCAAGCACACTCTAAACATTAAACTCAAACTGTAACCCCAGCCATATGCCTCCAGCCTAGTCAGCTTTCACAGTGCCTCTTCCCAAGGCTCTTTCAGCACTGATGCTACATTCTTGTATCCACACCTGCTCTAAGAGCCAGGTAGGAAAGGCACTATCTCCTCTGCACCCCTTTTTATTCAGGTGGAGAAACCAAAGCCAAGAGAACATTAAGTGACATTCCCAAGGCAGAATTGAACCTCCTCTGTGGTCAGCATGCTACCAGGATGGCTGTGTGGCTGGAAGGGTCCCTCATGCCACTACCACCCTCCCTCCCCCTGCCCTGGGTCTAGGGTGCCACTTTGCATGCCAGTGGCAGTGCCTTCTGACTCCCTTGCACTCTTCCTTGCTGCTTCAACAGGTCTGGCTTGGTTTTGCACTTGTGCCACCCAGACTTTCTGGCAGGACGTGGCTGATTCTACCTCCTATGAGCTGGAGATTGGCCTCTGAAGAGAGGCAGCTGCCAGTACACGAAGCAAGAGAGTTCCTGCTGACACCCAGGAATGCCAGTCACATCTAACTTTGCCTATCCAAAGTCAAATTGGGTATCAAGAGTGCCCCTGAACTCTGTTTTTATCTCTGCTGGGTGGTGCAAGGTAACTGGCTTTCGGGAATGTTCTGCATCTGTTGACCACAATAGATGTACCTCTAAGTGTCAGTGATTGACTCCAACAACTGACAGGGCCTTCAGCTGCCCCTTTCCACTAGCTATGAAGGGACACGGCTGAAACCAAATAGCCCATATGTCTTAATCAGCTCAGGCTGCCCTAACAAAATACCATATACTTGAGTTGCTTCAATAACAAAAATATATTTCTCATAGTTCTAAAGGCTGAAAAGTCCAAGATCACTGGCAAAGTATGTTTTATCCTAAGGCCTCTTCCCTTGGCTTGTAGGTAGCCACCATCTCACTTACATGACCTCTTCTGTGTGTGTGTTGTGTCATGTATGTGTGTTTGTGCGCACACATATGGAGGTTCAGGGGAGAACAAGCTCTCTGGTGTTTTCTCTTGTAAGGGCACTAATCCCATCATAAGGGCCCTGCCCTCCTGACCTCATCTAACCCTAATTACCTCCCATTTCCAAACACTATCATACTGGAGGTTAGACCTTCAACGTAAGAATTTTGAAGGGACACAAACATTCACTTTATGACACCTTGGTAGACATCATGCTGACTCAGGAATGTCAGCCTCCTCCTGTAGGTATGAGGCCTAACATGCCCCTTTATTTTAACTTGCCACTGAAGACTGGGGCTTCCTTTGCTTTCTTCCAGCAATGGTTCATTACCTTAAGAAAGACACATAGTGGCCTCTGGTATGGCTATCCAAGCTTCCCCCCTGCACCCTGCAGACTGCTGGGAATGTACTCTCCCTGGTGCTTGACTACTGAGCAAAATCACTTTTCCTCCAGGAACTATACCTATCAATATAAAATGCTATGGATGGGAAAGAAAGAACTCGCATGCAAAGGGAAGGGGCATCCTGTCCTTTAGTATCAAGGCTCACCTCATGTAATATGTGAGGCACTAACACTGTCCACCCTGAGCAGGCAGCCCTTAAGCCAACTGTTTCACAGCCCAGTGTGCCTGTGGCTGCCCTCGATGTCAATGAAGGAGCCGGCACAACTGAATCACATGGACGGCCTGGGCACACAGTCACACAGGATGGCAGCAGCCACCAGCCGCTGCAAGTGTGAACAAGAGGCCGAGGGGAGCAGGTCCTGTACAAGGGGCTCAACTGTAGGAAACAAGCCCTCACTCAGGACCTTGGCACAGCCAGGTTCCAAAAGCCAGTCATAAATTCACAGAGTTTCAGTGAAAGAAAATGTTTATTAAGCAATGAAGCCATAATTATTTTAGCTCCTAAGTGCTTCTGTTGGGCTGATTTTAGGTTTCCGCTGTTGCAGTTCCACCCCTCCCCCACCGGGCTTCTATGACAAGACTGTGGAGGAGAGAGGCGGGGCTTGATCATTCTTGCAGCTAAAACAGAAGAGCCTCTTACTAGATTGCAAACAACTCTGTTTTTTCTTTGTTGTTGTTGTTTGTTTGTTTTGGCAGAAAAACTTGAGCAGATTCTCTGAAGCCTACTTGCCTATGGTGGAACATGGATATGAGAAGCTGGGCAGGGAAGGCAGGGGACAGCTGTGTCATATATTAGCACACTAGAGATCACAGGCTACCTCTGCAGTACGACTGCCAAGGAACAGGCTATTGCTCAACAGTTATAAACATATCTTATCAGGAAAGAAAAGTAAGTCTCCACCCCCCAACCCCTACTACAAGGGACTCTGCAACATGCAGTTCCCCTGGCCATGCAGACCTCATTGGCCTGACCCCTCCCCACTTCTCTCATGGCTGGTCATAAATGTAATGCTGCTGCTGCTGCTGCTGCTGCTGCTGCTGTTCATCCACATAGGGCTGCTCTGCAGGCAGGAAGTACCTCATTTGTTGTGGCTGGCATTCCGAGGGGCCCTGAAAAGCTTCTGGACCCGGGGGGTCCTGGGCTCCTGCCTTGGGAACCTGTATCTGCTGGGAAAAAAGAGAACAAGGTGGAGTCCTTTGATAGAGGTCCTGGGCTCATTTGTGGTAGTGGGAGGATCCCTTTAGTTCAAGTCAGCCAGCTGCTGAGAAAAGCCTCTTTGGAGCATGAACCTGCAAAGTGCTGGGGAACGAGGGGCTGAGGGAAGATAAGGTTCCTCTCCTCTTCCATCTCCTAGCAGCATCATGGCATAAAGACCAGCAGAAGCAGACCCAGCTTTCCCAAGTTACCTTAAAGCTTCTGGGTCTGTGTCTGGCCCTCCATTCTCAGCAGCTTCTCTACCAGTCACAGCCAGCAAAAGCCCCTAACCTTAGGTCTTAGACTCAGCCATGCCCATGCTGCCCTGGATTTGTAGCTACTCGGCCCACTTTAACAAAGTGCAGGAGATGTACCAACCCACACTGGAGTGTGGAGGAGGGGAGAAGGATGGACACAATGATGGTGTTACAAAGAGTGGGCTGAGGGGCCTTTTCTGGTTGAGAAGTAGGGATCCCTTGGGCCATGTGGAGAGGTGATGCAAGATTCCAAAAAGTGGTACTCAAGGGTGTGGAGAAGACAGAGGGGTCAGAAGGAGCAGGGCTGGGCACTAGGCAGAAAGCTAGAGGTGTCTGGGGACCTACAGGGAGGCAGGGCCCAGAAGGCAGTAGAGGTTGAGCCAGGGCAGGGTGGTAAGAGCACAGAAGCTCAGAGGAGGAGGAACTGGGGCTTCACCTCAGGACAGTGGGAGTCCCTGAAGCTTTGTGGCCAGGGAAGCTCCACATGGCCCTGCCCTAGGCTGACCACTGCTTTCCCTCAGCTGAGCAACCTTGTGGAATCCTACCTTCTCTACTTCCCTGCACCACCTGCTCAGCTCTGTGCTGTCTCTGCCTCTCAGGGCCCCACCCAAAAGAGTAAGTGCCTTGAAAATACGCATGAGGAAAAGTTTTTACCAGAGTCTGGCTTGGTAACAAAACTACAGGACCTATTGACCATTCCGATCTCTTTGTGGGCAGTCCCTCTAAGGAACCAACTTTCTGGCAACATCGGTGGCCCAGTTGGTCAAGATGTAAATGTGAAAAATAATCATATCTTTACCCATTTAAAATATTGAAACTCCTTCATTCTTTCTTAGCTTACTGCTTTTTTATTGTTGTTTTGGTTTGCTTTGGTTGTTTAAAGAAAAACAAAGGTTAGGCTTTATTAAGGTTTCTAAAGCCATAATGAAAACACCTTTTGTAAATACTATTCATCAGTCAGATTGAAAGTACATGGTCCCCATGGGGCCTGCTGGGAGCTGACTTTGGAGCAAAACCCCTGTGTAACTGCCATCTGGACCAGCTTCCATCCCGGAAACATGGCCACTGCAGATGGTCCACAAGGTGGGGTCTGCCCTGACAAATACGGGGCACCCCATAGATGGATACTAAGTGCACTCAACAGAGGGACCTAGGTTTATTTTCAGTACAAGGAAACAAACCCACGCTAGGCCCTAGATTTTGTAGAACTATTAATTTTAATAATATAAAAATCCATAAGTCTGGAAAGGCGCTTGGGCTCAGACGAGCTCAGCATTAAAAATATGGCATGGTTCACTTTGTCCAAGTAATATATTTTTGAGACAAGTTTCAATCAGATTATATTTAAGATCCAGGCCAGCTCACTTTTTCAAGTAACCCTGTGGAGCATATTTTTACTCAGTAGTGAGTGCTACCATCATGTGAATAATTGCGCTCAAATTTATTGAGCTTTGAAGTCTGGATTTCACACACAGAGCACACTCCTGGGGTGGCTGCCTCTTAAGGAAGGGGCTCAGAACCCCTCTTGACCTGGGATGTAGTATACCTGGTTCCAGGGGTCTTGACCCTGCATGGAGGCCTGCTCATTGGAAGGCCAAATATTCGCTTGAAGAAAAAGGTGACCTTGTGGATCAGGCGACTGTTGCCAAAGTTGGATGTAATCCTCTGGGGTCTCCAGTGTGGGCAATTTCACTTCTGGATTTATGGGAGACTGAGGAAAGCTGGTAGAAGAAATTGGCTGAGTGCTTGAGCTATACCCCAATGGTGGCTGATCCATGGGAGGGCCCTGATGTGCCTCAGGAAGAAAACTGTAAGAGAAGAAATCTGTTGCAGTACCACGGACATGGAAATAATGGCCCACGAGACACTCCCTTGGTCATCAATAGATGCTTCAGGCACATTCGGTTTTGGTGGCTACACCAGGATTCACTTATATGTCTCCTCGCTTTGGCCTGAATAAGACTCAACTTGCCAAAGTAAAGCAAATATAGACACTGGGAGAAATTACAGTCATTTGTCTCAACTGTTTATTTCTATTACTTGGACAGTTCTGGTCTTGCCACAACTGTGCTCTCTGTGGCCATGGGCAAGTCATTTCTCCTATCTCTAAATCACTAAGGGGGCTGGTGGCTCAGTGGAGATGGCAAGGCCTGTTTCCTAACTTCAAATCCAGTGCTCTCTCCAGAACTCTAAGCCTGAGGGTCTTGTGATCAATATAGACTTTTGAGCCCCATCTCAGACTCTGAATCTGTACTTTCAGCAGCATCGTCAGGTGGATTCTGATGATCAAGCCAGCTGGACAACACAACTCTAGCCCACCCCACATGTCAAGGTCACTGATTCTAAAGTAAGGTCCAGAAGGAAATCCAGAGAGCTTTGGGAAGCATGTCTCTGAGAGCTAATGTTCATTCTCAACTATCTTGTGGGTCTCAACTGTATGCTAAGCAATCCTTTAACTGCTGAACAGAACCTTCTCTTTCTGGCATTTGGAACCAAAGACCTTATTATTGAGCAGAAATGCGTTTGTGTTCTCATACTTCCACCCAGGACTTAGCCCTTATGTTTCCTTGGCTGATCTTGGCAATCTAGCAATTATTTCACACCCACTTCCCTCCTGTTGATCATAAATGCCATGGAGATCCCTTTACCTGATCTACTGTGATCACCAGATTCCAGGGAAGTTAGGGAATGAACCTGAAAGTCCAGGAGTTATTCAGCTGTGGGCACTCAAGACTACTCTACACACACCCTGTGCAAGGGACTGGGCTTGGGGAATCAAGCCAAGTGATTTCAAGGGTTTCATGCTAACTCCCTGGCTTTGAGGATTCCTCACCTAGTCACTTCTTCAGGGAGACTCCTCTGTTCCATCAATGAGTGCTTAGCCATGTGCCATACATGCAGAGGCAGGATGGCCAGTGGCCACAGAAAAAGATGAGTTGACAGCAAGTTGCTGTTGATGAGAAGATTGCTGGTGCCACATGGACAGGTCATCCATGATCTCAGGCATGGTACCCAGCTACGAGGGGAAAGCAGTGATCTTAGCCCTTAACACCACGCTATGCATTCCTTACCTATGACTCTCATTTTCCTGACACCCAAGGTCTTCCTCTTGATAAGAGTCAGAAGGCTGTGGCTCAGCTATCATTTGGACAGGAACAACAATAGGCTTGGTCTGCAAAAATGTAACAGGATTATTGTAGAGTGGCACAGACATGCCAATTGGATTTCTGAGGCATTTCTGCAGGGTCTGGTTCCCCGCAATGGCACTATGCTGTTGTGGCTGCTTCTGCAACTGCTGTGGCTGCTGCCGCAGCTTCTTCTGCTCCTGCTGCATGAAAAGACAAGTGAGTGATAAAAATATCTTAGTGTGTGTGGGAGCTTCCCAGAAATTTAATTCTCCCACTTAAGTTTCTCAAGGTAGAAGACAACAGTAGTCCAGCCACCCTGAACACAGTGGTCTGTGTGACTGTCTGCTTGTTTTGCTATACACTAGTGGCCGTCATGCTCCTGGATGTGAGAGTCTGCTAATCCAACACATATACACATGTATGTATACATGGTATAACATATGTGTTCAGGTCTAGGTAGCTCAGGATTTTTTTACTATCTTTAGGCAAATGAATTATAGCCAACTAGGTAGCTACTACCCCTTAAGGAAAACCAGGTGAGTCCAAATCCTCATGAAAATGTAATCCTCTTTCAGCTACACAGTTAAAACAGGCTTTCCATACCTGGGTGGAGAAGAGAGAAGGCTCCTCAAACTTCTCAATGAATTTCAAAGACGGGAATGAATATGAATCACAAAACCGTTTGGCCTCCTTGATATCTGGGAGGGACCGCTTCACTTGTCCAGTGCGTTGTTTCTTGGGCACTGCCCCCAAAGACTGGGGATCAGGACTGACAATGCGGCATGTTGCAGTTGGCTGTACCTATAAGGACACAGTATCACAAAGGTCTTATTCATAGCACATACCTTTTCTTAGAGCACAAGGCACACTGGGCATGGACCAGGATTACCCACAGGCAAGCCTACATGCAGCCTTGGCTATACTTAAGCCACATCTGCCACTGTTGAGGCCTGGCTGGGCCCATCTTGGCTCCTGCAGCCAAGAACAAAAAGGCAAAACTAAAAGTGCCTGCTGTAGATCACTCTAGATGGCCCATGCCACCCTGTGGGCAGCAGCTCTTACTACTGGTAGGCCCTATTGACTAACTCCTTAAGGGTTGCCACGGTCCCTCTCTCCTCCTTCTGCCACTTATGTAGAACTTGTCTGACCTGAACTCTAGCATCCCGAAGTGCTTGAAGCTGCTCCTTGATCACTTGCAGTGCATCCTGCTGGCTTTTGATAATAGCCTGCAGCACCCGAGTCCTCTCTTCTAGCTGCTCCCTGAACTTCTCCAACAGTTCCAGATCACGGTTATCGATGTAGGATGCAATTGACAGTGATGGTTGTGATGGCTGTGGGGAGGAATCACTTATGGTTCATGTATAGGGACACTTATATATAGGAATCACTTATGGTTCTCCAAATACTACCATTTGTTTTACTTCAAAATTTTGAAAGCCTGAGAATGCAAACAGTGGCAGTCCAATCCTGATTTCATTCATTACTAGAAAGTTTGAAGAAATGGTTAGAGAATCCAGGAATTCTAGATAAAAAATGGCTCATGGAGATCATTTCTTTTTTTTTTTTTCAAAAAGGAAAAATGTGGAATTGGCCCAGAGACATGAAGCAACCTGCAATGCCAAAGGGGAAGTGTTCTTCCCCTGAGTCAAATCACAAATGACAGTCCACCAACAGGGCCCCTGTTAGCAATGTAATAGATATAATCATCAGCTGGTACCTCCTTTTACTATTCTAAGCACTATATGGAAATTCACAGATCTGATCTTCACAGAGCCCTAGAAAGTAGGAACCCTTACGGTTCTCATATACAATCATAGTACTTGGATGAATACTCTCCTCTTGGTCCTGGAAATCTAATTTTAAATTGGAGAACAGCCTCAGATCTTGAAATGAGCAAATGTGCAGGTTTACAAAACTAGAGAGTGTGTTAGGGGGCAAACTATGCTTCAGGTTGGCTGGAATAAAAGGGATAAGGCCAGCCGCATGTGGAAAAGAAAGCAGAAAGAGAGGGGTTTTGTTTTATTTTGTTTTGTTTTGCGGAGCATACAGTTTCAGGCAGTTGAGGAACTTGGATTTTATTCACAGGTCATTTGACACTTCTGCCAGAAGGAGAGTTCTACACTATAGATCTGATTCAGGAAGTGACATGCTCAGATCTGTTTTGTAGAATATGCCTTTTGGCAGCAGTGCAGAAGATGGACTGACAGGTGAAAGGAAGCTTGGAGTCAGGGAAAGGCCAATTAGAAGGCTGTGGGGGCAATTCGAAGTAGAGATAACAGGGGCCTGAAACAGACTAGAGGTGCAAGATACAGAAAGGAAGGGAGAGAAATTTGAGAGAAATTAAGAAAATAAATGAGAGGCTGGGCACAGCAGCTCACACCTGTAATCCTAGCACTCTGGGAGGCCGAGGCGGGAAGATCACTTGAGCTCAACAGTTTGAGACCAGCCTGAGCAAGAGCAAGAACCCATCTCTAGTAAAAATAGAAAAATTAGCCTGGTGTGGTGGTATGTGCCTGTAGTCCCAGCTACTCGGGAGGCTGAGGCAGAAGGATTGCTTGAACTCAGAGTTGGATGTTGCTGTGAGCTAGGCTGATGCCACAGCACTCTACTCAGGGCAACAGAGTGAGACTCTGTCTGAAACAAAAAAAAAAAAAGTAAAAGGATGAGGAAAAGGAAAATGAAAGGAAAGAAAAAAGAAAAGAAAAGATATGCTGGTAAGGATGCAGAGAAAGGGAAATGTTCTTATACTGCTGGTGGGAATATAAAGTAGCATAGCCACTATGGAAAACAGTATAGAAGTTCCTCAAAAAAACTAAAATTGGAACTACCATATGATCCAGCAATTCTACTATTGGGCATATATCAAAAAGAAAAGAAATCAGTATATCGTAAAGATATCTGCACTCCCATGCTTATTGGCACACTATTTACAATAGTCCAAATATGAAATCAACCTAGGTGTCCAAAAACAGAGAAAAAAATATGACATATATACACAATGAAATACCATTCAGCCTTTAAAAAGAAGGAAATTCTGTCATTTGCAGCAACATGGATGTAACTGGAGGACATTATGTGAAGTGAAATAAACCAGGCATGGAAAGACAAATATCACATATTCTCACTCATACTTAGGAGCTTAAAAAGTGGATCTCATGGAGGTAGATAGTAAAATGATAGCTACCAGAGGCTGATGGGGTGTGGGGGAATGAAGAGAGGTTGGTTAATGGATACAAACATACAGTTAAATAGAAGGAATAAGTTCTAGTATTTGAGAGCATAGTAAGGAGACCATAATAAACAATATACTATATATTTCAAAATAGCTAGAAGAGACAAATTATAAATGAAAAAGTAAGTGTTTGAGGTGATGGATATCCCAATTACCCTGATTTGATCATTACACACTGTATATATGTATCAAAATATCACATGCACCCCCAAGATATGTACAACTATGATAATATCAATAAAAAATCAAATTCTAAGAAAAGGATAGATTACCATTCAGAATATCTTAAAGTAAAATAAAGTTTAAATAAAAAGAAGAAGAAAAGAGAAAGTAGACAGGACTTCTCAACTGATTGATTTATGAGAACAGGAAAGAGATGTAATTTTTATAAAAAAAACATCTGTCAAGGTCGTAAGCAGTGCTTGGAAACAATTGCTGTTTTTTCTGAACTGTGCTGAACACTGTGTATATATACAAGATGAGTGAGTCGTGGTCCCAGATCCATAAAGAATTTCCAATATTAATGATGAGGAAAAAGTACATATATAGAGACCAAAAATAAGATAGTCTATTACATCATACTGTGGTCCTTTATGGTTAATGTAAGTACATAGCTGAGTTGGGGGCAAGGGAGAAGAGAGAGGGAGGGAGGAGACAGATAGAGATACAGATAGATGGAGGGAGAGAGACAGAGAGGGAGGGAGGGAAACTAAACAATTTGGTTTTTTTCTCAGAATAAAAATAATGTATGTATTTTTAGTCCATTGAAAACTGTTCAATTGTCCTTCTTTCACTATATATTATATATTTCTTCCTATAAGAAAGTAGGCATTCATTAGACCAAAACACACACATACAAAACTCTCTAAACTCAGGTCTGGAAGAGACAAACCTTACAGGTTACCACATCTACCCGCCCTATCCAGGCAGGAATCTTCTCTCTGCTGTCTCTGGAAAATGAACTACCAAGCCTTGGCTTTAACCTTTCCATTGAAAGGGAGGTGCCTCACAATTTTAGGAGGTGACCAAATCCATCTGAGAAGGGCTAATAATGTCAGATTGCTTCCTTGAAGGGATCTGAAAGCTGCCTTCCCTGCAGCTTCTAGTTCTCAGCCTTGGTTTAAGCCACTGGAATCACACCCTCCATTTCATGAGCACAATGGCTCTTTAGTTGTTTGGATAAAGCTGTCCTAGCCCTCCCTCCCCATTATTCCCTTCTCCTGTGTCTTCAACTACTGACTGTATGTTGTTTACCAGCCCCTTCCCTATCCTGGTCTCCATCCACTGGATACACTCCAGTTGTCAATACATGGCATCCAGAAATAAGTCTAATACACTATCACCTGCAGAGCCAAATTACACACATTCCTGGTTATTTTGGTGATTTTCAACAAAGCTATACTTATGGTTTAATTAAAAATAAATTCAAAAGAGAAGATAAACCTTTCAACAGTGAAAGAGGGACCACAACTTTTTAACATAATAACGACATAAATAAGGACAAAATGGATTTTGACAGAAGTTTCCTTCTAAATAGTTCAAAGAATTTCCACAACAGTCCACAAATCTCTGCAAACAAGACCATTTCAAGATGGAGAAACTGAAGCTCAGGAACTTGCCAAAGTCACATTGCTGGGGCCAAACTCAAACAGTTGTCTCCTAGCCCTCAGTTCTCTTCATTAGATGAGGGTTCCTTTGGCATTAGGGATGGAGTGACTCATATTAGCCTCAGTGATTAACCAACACAATTCCACATAACTGACCATAATCTCATTATCTTGGCTGCCAATCCTGATTTTAATAATCCTATCTAATATAAAAGATGATTGCCCAAATCTGTGACAATGTACAAAAATTTGGGGATAGAGGAGATAGGCAGTAGTTAATCCAACTCTTTTGACTGATTTAGCTTTGAACCATACCTCGGTGCTGGCATTTCAAGGTTAGATATTTCTAACACTTTAACACTATGTTTTAACCTAATAAAAATAATAAAAATTCAATTGGGAAAATCTAGCATGTGGTAGAGGGGGAGGGCTAGTATGGATGGTCAGGGCAGTTGTCATCCCTTGAGATGGTTAGCATCCTCTTATATATAGGTGATAAAGAACAGGGCTCTTAAAATTACTGCCTTTTCTTAGTAGCTAAGCTTTCTATTTGGCTCAAACTTTCTGTCAAGTACAAAATGTCCTTGGCTTCAACCTCCCTGTTCAGAAGGGCACACTGGGTTCTCAGCTGCATCTGAAAATCTAGTACAACAGAAACAGTGATGCAGTTTTTTAAAAAATAAAGAGCATGTTTTCTGAAAAGTTAAACTGGTCAAAAGAGTGAAAATCAGGGCTTTGTCTAGTGGTCCAGACAAATATGTGAAGCAAGACTCCCAGAAGTACCTGAGCACTGGTGCCAGCAGCCTTGCTAGAGGAGGGGAAGGCCTTCTTCTCCACCAGGTCAATCAAATCCTCCTGGTACTCTGAGTTTACTGCATCCTGCTGATCTACCAGGTCCACTATGTCCATCAGGCCTTCTTGTTCCACCAGGTCCACAGTGTCCGTTGAGTCCACCAGGTCCTGCTGCTCCACTGAGTCCTCTGTGTCCAGGTCCACAGGGTTGTCTTCATTCATCAGATCTACATCAGACTCATATTCAAAGCTATGCAAGGATAACATGGCTAAGGAAGAAAGTACAGTGGAGTTCATGACTAAAAAAGCAAAAGTACCAAAGTTATCAAAGAGATGATATAACAAGGAAGTCCAGTTTTATTCCATGTAAGGATGAGATATGTTAGGTACAAGGAATCATTCAGAACATTACTTTAAACATCTGTTCACATTTGCAAATGAAGAAAAAGGAAGGAGTGTTTTAATTTACTTCTGCCCACCCTCCAGCTTAAGCTAGTGCCTAAACCCATTCCAATTGTTAAGTGTTGTTTCATTCATTATAAAAGTCTTTTGGCTTTCTTTCTGGAAATTTGGTACTATCAAACTGATAAAAACAAATTTAACCTAGTCATAAATCACTTCTAAATAACTGAGTTCCCCAGAATGTGGGACTTCAGGACCTCAAAGTGCTCTGGGAGGTGTTGTGACATGATTTGGCTTCAGTAGCCCTGAAAAGCACAACAGAAAACATTATTTGAATAATGCCAAATGGTAGAGTCATTTTAGAAAACAGTTTGGCAGTTTCTAATAAAGTTAAGCACACACTTCCCATATGATCTGGCAGTCCCATACCCAGGAACTAAAAACATTCACACAACACAAAAATCTCTATGCTAATGTTTATAGTAGCTTTATTCATTATCACCAAAAACTTAGAAACAACTCAGACATTCTTCTACAAGTAAATGGATTTTTAAAAACCTGTGATATATTCTTAAGATGCAGTATCACTTGGCAATAAAAAGGAATGAACCACTGATCCATGCAACATGGATGAATCCTAAACGCATTTTGCTAGACCATAAAACTAGATCTCGTATGATCCCGCTTTCATGACATTCAGGAATGGGAAACCTACAGAGACAGAATATGGATCAATGGTTGCCAGGGCATGGGGTACAAAGGGTGAGTACAATGGAGCAGTGCAAAGGAATTTGGGGAGTGATGGAACTGCTTTATTTGGTACTGTGGGATGTATACAGGATTCTTAGCCTTTATCAAAACCCATACAAATGTATACCTCAAAGAGTGAATTTTACTGTATATAAATTTAAAAATAAATTGATCAGGATGTGGGGAAGCCCAGGTTGGAATGCAGACTGTGAAAAATCAATCCTAACTCTATTACAAATAAGTGGTATATCCCACACTAAAGAAGGTGAAAAATAAGGAAGCTAACCTATTAATAGTAACTTTGTAAAATAGCAGTCTGCCTGGATACTGTAAGGCTAAAGACAAACAGAACTGCACACACAAATTAATTCTAAATAATAAATACGTTTCTTCAGGGGTATGGGTTAGCAATTGTAAAACTACTGTTTGGGTATTTTTGTGCATTGAACAAATCAATAAATGTGCTGTAGATAACGAGACCCAGCTTTCTCACTGTCAGAGATAGAAATAAGAAATAAGCAGAGAGAAAACGCTAGAATGAACGCCATGGTGCTGGACTGGAGTATGAAATATTAAAGAACTCCTGTTGTTGTTTTTATATATGCTAAAATAAATACAGATAGGTGTACGTGCATGTGTGGGTTAGTATGCATCCATATCATTCCCAGTTTTGTCCACTGAGTTTGGAAGCAGTGACATACCTGCAGTACACCTACCACCCAGATCTTTGTTTCTAAATAACATTCTTAAAGGACCTAATGTTCCTTAGAGAAGGTGTTGATTTCAATGACCTAGAACAACTTGTAATATCAGAAATAAGAAAGTGAGGGGAGAAAAAGGTGCAGGAAAGGTGAAAGGAGAAGGGAGCCAATCTAAAAAAGCCCCAGTAGGCAAAGATTGGAAAATGAAAAAATAATGATGGTATTCGATTACAAACCAAATAATAAAAAATAATACTCATGAGTCCATCTTGATATGAATGAATGAATGAATGAATGTGTGAATATATGAAAGAAGGAGGAGGAACAGCTCTTTCTTACAGAAAGATTCCAGTTAATAAATACACAAGGAATAAAGGAAATAGAAAATCAGCGTTAGAACACCATAGAAGTAATTGCTTCAGGCCAATTCCACTGATAACATTAAAATGAGTGGAGGATAGTTTAAGGAGAAATTTGCATGTTCTCAATGTAGCTCCCCTCAAGTATTTTGTAAGTGCAAAGGGAAAATTAGTAACTTGAAAGTAGAGAAATCTGGCAAACACCCCCTTGACCAGGTAATCAAGTTAACATCACCAGTGATATAGCAACATCACATACATTCTGATAGGATGCACTGAGCAGGGCCCATCACATCTGTAGTATTCTTCCCAAAATGCACTGCCTCAATCTCATCTTGAGAAAACATCAGACAAATTCAGATTGATTGGCATTCCATAAAATATCTGGCCCGTATTTTTCAAAATTATCATGATCGTGAAAAATAAGAAAAGATTGAGACACTGTCAAAGACTGGAGGAAACTAAAGAGACGTGTTTTAAACGCAATGAGGGATCTTGAATTGGTTCCTGGAACAGAAAAAGGACTTTCAGGGAAAACTGAATAAAGGCTGGAGCTTAGGTAAAAGTGATACACTAATCTTAACTTTGTAGTTTTGACAATTATACTATGGTTATGTAAGATGTTACATTAGGGAAAGCGGAGTGAAGGTTATCCTATATAGGAACTTTCCCTTATTTTTCTATTTTTTTCTTTGTACTATTTTTGGAACTCTTCTGTAAGTCCACAATTATTTCAAGATAAAAAATGTAGAAAAGAGAAATATCAGGATTAGGTAGAGTGAACTACCAGGACACTTCCCACCTGCTTTTAGCAGCCTAGGGTTACATTCATACCTTATCACAATGCTGTGGACATGAGGAAATCACCCTCCAACTGTGGTATGAGTTTTGGATGACCATTTAAAATATTTTGGGAAATTATAGTTTCTGGATGCTTCTAGTGTTTAGACCTTTGGCCAAACTCATCTACTTAACTCCTTTTCCACTGTCAGCCACTTTCCAAATCAGTTTAGCATCTTCATAGTATACTTATAATTTTCTGATTCCAAATGAACAAATCTACTAAATTAACATCAATAAATGATAATGAGAAACCTGGGAGCTACTCAATTTCTACCACACAGGCCATATGTTGCTAGCCATCTTAATACACCCCATTTTGTTGGAAAAGTCAGTTGTGGAAGACTATAAGGATTTCTCCATCATTGTTTTAACATTAATAAATACAAATAATTCTGTACAGCAAAGCTACAAGTCCAGATAAATAGGTTTAAATTAATCACTCTTCTTATAAATTTTAGAAATCACAATTATGAGTTCATGGACTTTGCCCTCTCCCACCAAAAATCAATTGTTTTGAAAGGATGTTTTTTAAACAAAGCTTTGAGATTAACAGCAACAATGGAAGAGTTGTTAACTAAGAGTGTTTAAAAGTACTAAAACTGTGTTTAAAAACTTTGAAAAAAAGAATAATATGAAAATTAAAATACAGGCTATTACTTCTATGTATGGATTCTACAATACAAAGTATCTATGACAAGATTCAACTAATTAGGAGATATGATCTGCATTATGCATTCACCATTTCCTTAAGTTTCATACTTTTTATACAATTATAGTTATGAAATATCTTTAATATTGGAACTTATGCAAGAAATATCACTGTTTTTGAGATACTATCCCTTTCTCCCTTTATGCCCACTAAAACTTAATAACAAGAGGTTTCTTTGAGACATAACTATTGTGCCATAGCAGAACAGACTACATAAGTATGAAAAGATAAATGCTATTCTTTCAAGGATGGAGATCCAGCACCAATCTTTAGAAGAGTAAAATTAAATGGGAGAGAATAATACCATTCCAAAGCACTTGAATATGTGATGAGATAATCATTTTTACTGCTTTCAAATCATCATCTCAAAAATTTACAGAAGACTAAGAAAGTTGGAATTCACTCCTGTGATTTCACACCATTATAAATAGAACATTATCTTCATTTGAAAACTGTAACTACCCTATAGGTCACTATTTTTCTTCTGATAGTCCATATCCAAATTCTCAAGTGTACCTACCTGGTGATTCAGGCATGGTTTCCAGCGAAGATGTGCTGGACTCACAAGATGAATCAGATCGTATTCTAATTACTTCAAGGGTTTCTTGTGGTCCATATTGCTCAACTTCTACAATATCAACTTGATCCTATAAATTTCCAAAAGAGAAAGCTATGATATTTCATTTTGCAGTTAGAGATATAAACAACAAGAAAACACAGGCAGAACACAAGCTTTGATGCATTTCATATTACAGTTTCTAACACTGCTGCAATCAACTAAAAAGCTAACTCAAAGTCATTATCAAACATGTCCTTGAAAATATTGCTGGAATATAACAACAAGCAGAGATTACGGATGTCACAACATATACATTGCCCCACTCAAGAAGAGAAGCACATTACACATATACTGAAAGCATAAGCATTGAAAATGTTTATAGATCAAAGGCCATGGCAAAAAAATTATGCCTTTTAATGGTGTTGGTAGGATGCTATCATAGTAGTAGCAAAGGATGGCAGTCATCTCATCTTCCTTTCCTCATTATTAGAATCTAACACACTGATTTAACACATCGACTGCCATGTGAGTTGTATTTAACTCAAGCAAGTTTTGAGCCCAGGGCCTCATTAAGCAAAACCCTACAGTTGGTTCATGAAAATCTTACTTGTTGATGTACTTATTGTTACAATTAATATTGACAATTTAATGTTAAAAACGTGGATTGTGTTGCACAGAACTCACACACAAGAAAATAATAAAAAATAACAGATTCGAAAGGATTGTTTTGTTTTAATAAAACACGTTGGCCCCAGGGAAAAAAATTTATTTTCTAGCGTGGCAGTCAATTTGTTAAAGAGAACTGGCATAGCAGTGGAGGAGCTGTACCATTACTGATGGGGCCATTTTGCCAGAGTTCCTGCACATACAACCTAGACTTAGAGCAAGAAAAGGCCAACTGGGGGCTTAACAACTACCCCACGTTTTTTAGGCAGATTAAAGTTGAAAGTATTATTAGCAAAAGTACTTTTAGCACAGAAGTGAAAAGGACCCTGAGAATTTCTAGTGCAATTTCTCATTCAATAGTGTCAAAGAGGGCAAGGCCATACAGCAAGTTAGAAACAAAGCAAGAGACAGAATCCATTAAAGCCAAACTTGGTGCTCTTTTCCCTAAGTCTGACTACCTTTATTTAAGCCATTTGCTTCTTTAAACCATACACAAATTATATTTCTATTTTGTGATCCAGTTTGATTTCCTTAACAACTGGATCCTTTTTGGATAGTCTGTGTATCATAGCTCATATGAAACTTAAGTTTATCAGTAAAATCTTCTAATTCTCTGCCAAAATATTTAGAGTTTTTTGTTTGTTTGTTTTGGACTGGCTTAAGACACAGATCCATGCTTATTTTTCTGCAAGGAACCTGTTTGTTGGATCTCATTCCAGCATTTGAACTTCAGGAAATTGTGCAACCTCACTGTTCAAGTGATTATGTTTTGTACTCCTTAACATAAGTGATATGTTGCTGGAGATCTGGGAATATTTTCATTATTTAGCCACATAACATAGTGAGGTGGTATTCACTGAGATGGGATATGATCTCTCTCTGTCCTCTTCTTTCTGTTCTTTACCATAGCTATCTATTGATTTAATCACTCATCCCTGCTTCCTGGATGATTTTCAATAGAAATTTATATACCCAGATATTGAGATGTCCATTTTTGTGTGTTCATATGTTTTAGCTTATAAGTATAAAATGCAGTGAATTTAAATGAATTTAAATGACAACATCATGTGCGGTAATGGTAATTGGCCTGAAAAAAAATAAAGCCAAGAAACTACTTTGGAAGCAAAACGACACCAGTTCAAAATGCAATCAGGACTAAGGCTTGAAGATAGTCTTTCAAGCGAGGCAGCTAGAAGCCAAAAATAAAAATAAAATGAAAATGCATACATGGGCACTGGAAGGCTTTTAATATGCTTTTACAGTGTTGAAAGGAGGTTTGGATTCACCTTTATTCCATAATTGTCCCATGAACAGTATTTAAGGGATATGAAAAGAGAGTTATGGCTTTCGAGGTTGGACACAGAGTAGGCTTCGAATGCAGGCTCTAATACATGATGGTTATGTGAACTGGAAATGAGTGTGTGTGTATGTGGGGAGCATTCAAAAAGTATGTCCCTAAATCTTCATATTTTCCCTGTGGTAGCTTAATGTCATAAGTGCTCTGGCCAATTTTTAAGAGGTCCTTGAATTTTAGTTTTTATTTAATATTTAATAAACTGGCCACCTTTTAATATTAGTTTTGAGCATGTCCATGGGTTTGGTACAAAACAAACTCATGACCTTGAGAGTCATAGGTGATAGACTGAGACTTCCCAGTAAGTGCTCATGTATTCACTGTCATTTAGGAGATAATGGAACAATATGAACATATTCAATTCCTAAAGTCCTTGCAATCACCTACATAGTCTTTAATATTCAGCTTTATTAAACTTAAACAAGTTTTTTGAAGTATCATGTGAAGAAGTTATCACTGTGCCTCATTTTGAATGCTTTTTTCTGCTTAATTTTGATTTTCAACATCAATGGGATATGGTGCTCTTCCTAAAAGAAACTGTTCCCATTTGGGAATATGTTCTTCTACTGATGCCCAGTAATGAGTCTCAAGAGAAACCACCTCAGGCCATGGAATTGGGTGAATCCTGGTCTCTAGAGACTTTTCTGCTGCTTCTATATCCTTTAAAAGACTAGGGTTCCTTTTAAAAGTAGTCTCAGCTGCTTTCAGCTGAGATGCCTTTTCTGTGTTTTGATCTCCACATTTATTCTCCATTTGTTGAAGTAACATTAATCTTTGTGATACTATTTCTTCATGTCTTTTAGAAAGGCGAATTTCTTGAACAAACAAGGACGTCATCTTTAATCAAAGCTGTGTTATCAGCTTTCTGCTTGGCTAAAGAGGCTGGCTGGGCCAATACACGCAGAGGTCTAGTGGAAAGCTCTGAAGGCCCCAAGCCCGAAAGCACATCATCTGGCTGGGCGCACAAGCTGAAGGTGCTTGTCCTGCAGGGCTCGTGACCTCTCCTCATCACCCCGGCTCTTCACCTCGACCTGCAGGTCCTCCCCACACGCGCCTGCGAGGCCGTGGGACAGTCGCGGCACCCGCCGCAGCCGCCTCCGGACCTCACTCGCCGAGTCAGCCTCTTGGTCCTCTCTCCATGCAGCTCTCTTCTCTGGAACTCTGCTAGCAAACTTAGTGTCCCTATACTCTCAGCTCAATCTCCTTGACTCAGGCAGTCCACTGGGCTCCATATGTGTTCTTCCTCTCTACCATGTGGCCTAGAAACTTGCTGGGTAGTAAGCTGTGGTAACTGTGGGGCTCACCTCATTGGTTTCCCATTGCTAAAGGATCCCTAGCCTTTGTTGTCTGATGGCCATTATCTTGAAAAATCTTATGGCATATATTTTGTCTGTTTTATTTTTACTTATTTTAGGCAGGAAAGTTAATCTAATCCCTCCCACTCCATCTTGGTTGGAATCAGAAGTCCTCCAATTCCATGGACTAATGTACAGTTACTGAAATGATCAAAAATGGGACTGTAGAAAAACGGAACTTACTCGGTGGTAAGTGGAAGCCAAGAGTATGAAAAATATAAATATAAATATATATGAAAAATATATATGTTGGTGGACTAAGACTGAATAGGAATAAGCACAATTAAACAGCAGCTGTGCCATGGCAAAGGAATTATGGGTTTCTTTTTCTTTAAGAATCTCTTTTCTTCAAATGTTATAACTTAGGTTTCATATACTTTGTAAAGTGAGGATATTTTAATCCAACTTTCCTCAAAACACACTAAGTTTAAGGACTCTGGATTCTTCACATGCAGTACACTATAGATGCTGGGCAAATATATGTCAGCTGACTGACCGATGAAGCAAGGCTGACAGCTGGGTTAGACTGATGGCTAGAACTATATGGTTAGCTTGGCCTCTTTTCCTAGCAAACCTGTATTTAGTTTGTGTGTAAACAGAACATTGCTCTGTTTAAATTAGCCTTTTTCTACCTAATTTTCTCCTTGTCTCATATTTCTTTAAACAGAATGCTAGGATAAAAAGAGGTACTTCCTCTGAAGGGAGAAGTTTTATTTACATAGAAGTACCTTGATAATGAGAAATAGTTGGAAAATTCAATACAAAATTAGCACTTCATGTTTAAACTACATGCTCACAGCATCTCCACATTACAAGAGAACAAATATTGAAAAGAGCTGCTCTCTGGACTGTCCCCAGGAATGTGTGAATCCTTTCAGGCAAAAACCACATAGAAGCCTGAAAAACAGAGTGACAGTCTACACATATAGCCTGTCTGTACTGCTCTTGAAATCCCTTTACCATAGATTTGAAGAGTTTTATAAAAATAACAGAGGGCTTTAACATATATTATTCATTTGTGTATCTAATATTTTTTTTTATTTCATATTATGGGGGTACAAATCTTGTTAAGGTTACATATATTGTTCTTGCCTCCTCTCCCCCATCGAGTCAGAGCTTCAATCATGTCTATCCTCCAGGAGGTGAGCATCAGACTCATTATGTATGTATATGCCCATCCCCTCCTCCCCCCTCCCACCTGCTCAACACCCGATAAATGTTTTCTTTTATTTTTAGACATTTTGGATACATTTTATATCTTTGCCTCTCCCTAGGAAGGGTTAAGGGTTAGAGATATGCCCTTCCACTCCACAATGCTCACCACATCCCTAAGATGTGGGTCTACCCCCTCAACTCCCGAATCCTTGGTGAACTCTACCACTTTATGAGCACCATAGTGTTAATCAGTCAGTACCAACTCAATGGCAAGTACATGTGGAGCCCATTTTTCTGATCTTGTGTTGCCTCACTTTGGATAATGGGCTTAAGCTTAAGCCAGGATAGTATAATATTTATGAGTGCCTACTATGTGTTCCAAGCCTTCTGCTAGATACTGGAAATATGCTGATCAACAAGACAGCCAAAGGTCCCTGCTCTCACAGAGGGTTCCTTCTATTGCAGGAATACAGACAAGATACAAGTAAGATTCCTTTGAGCATTATTATATCCCTATGGGATAGCCTGGCAGATATTATTATTATCATCTCCATTCTA